AGGAATAAATGGAACATGTCTCATGCTTTGCATGGCAAATTCTTTATAACACCCTAGCAGAAATGAGAACTGGCTGCTTATCCTTCTCTGTTAGGCAAAGCAGGATGCAGCACCTTACCTGGAGCACTTAGGCACATCCGCCCAGGGAATTCACCCTGTCTGAGAGTCTCCTGTAGGTGTACTTGGAGAGATTTTTCCAAAAATGAATTGTGAGCATGATTCATAGGGAAAAGGGGAAGAGAGCGCAGTCTCGTTGCTCTGCCAACTTGAAATCAGCTCTTAATCCTCAGTGAGCCTTGCACTCCTCATAGGTCACCTCCAGGATGTATCAGTGTCAGGGTCTGGGCACAGGATGAGGTCCCATAGAGCAAAATAGTAATTGCATAGAAGTTGCTTTTTTATGGGGCTGGGAAGGTGGCTCAGTGGTAGAGCACTTGCCTTGCATGCATGAGGCCCTGGGTTCCATTCCTCAGTACCACGTAAGCAAAAAGAAAAAAGCCAGAAGTGGTGCGTTGGATCAAGTGGTAGAGTGCTAGCCTTGAGCTGAAGAGCTGAGGGACAGCGCCCAGGCCCAGAGTTCAGGCCCCACGACCAGACCCGAAAAAAGAAAAAAAAAAAAAAGAAGTTGCTCTTTTATGACAAACTTGTCAACCTTAAATCCCTTTGGCTATAATTGTGGTATGAGAACATTGAAAAGGCCATCTGCCCAGGGTTGAGGACTTGAAGAATGTTCAAAAGTTTACTCTCAAATGTCAAATATATGTAACTAAGGGGATGGGAAAATATCAGACCCTTCCAGACACTGAAGAGCACCAGAGAGAGATCTGGACAGACATCAGGGGTCATATTGTAAACCAGAGTTTGAGCTTTTTATGTATTTTGTGGTAGTACCAGGGCTTGAAGTCAGGGCCTGAGCACTATCCCTCCCTGAGATTTTCTTTTCTCGAGGCTAGCACTCTACCACTTGAGCCACAGCTCCACTTCTGGCTTTGTGGTGGATAATTGGGATAGGAGTCTCAGGGATATTCCTGCTGTGGCTAGCTTCCAACCTTGCTCCTCCTGAGTAGCTAGGATTAACAGGCATGAGCCACTAGGACTCAGCTTGTAAACCAGGTTTTATCCTGCATAGATTTGAAGATAAGAGCAAGATGTTGGCTTGATAGAAATCAAGAGTATGCTCTGCAGATTTGTTCTTTGATTTTTTTTTGGTAATCTGTTACATGTTTATTTCTTTAGTATTCAGATCTGAGAGGTGCCTGGGCTGTACAAAGCAGGTATGTACAAAATAGACTGTTCTCTCTTGCAGCCAGAAGATACCTGAAATGCCTGCAGATGTGGTGGGTGCTCTTTTGTTCCTGGAGGATTATGTTCGGTACACAAAGCTTCCCCGGAGGGTAAGCCATAGATATTAATGCCTACTGAAGGTAACAACCAGAATCCTGGGCCTGAGGCCCAGCTCATTCACAGCCCTGGCCTCTAAGCCCCTTCCCCCTGCTGTGCTTCACCGCACAATTGCTCCACCTTCCCGCCAGGTCTAGAATGTTCCAAGAGAACAGAGATGAACTCAACCTTCCTTCTCTTCCTCCTTCCTCTCCACTCTATCTCTTATGAGCAGACCACCAAGTACAATAAGATGGCTAACCAGGAACACATTCCCAACTGGCCAGAAGGGGAAAAAAATCAGCTTGAATGATTTGTTTTTCTTTCTGCTTCTTGTTGTCGAGAGCAAGTTAGCTCTGTGTCACTTGGGCTCGATGAATGAATGGCTCAAGTACAGAGTGCCTGCTTCAACAGGGAGAAGCACTGAGTTTAATTCCCAGCATGCCCCACCAAAAACAAAGCTTGTGCCACTGTTAAATTGAGTTTGGATATTAATTGGAAGTGTTCAAATTTATCACTTTTAAGAGAATTAACATTAGAGATTCTTTTTTATGCTAATACATTTGGTGAATTTCATTTAATTAACAAGTGATACCTTTACAATAAGGAAAAAATTAAGCAATGCCTTTGAAAACTATGCCTCTCTAGCACATAAGTCAGCTAGTTCTCATCCCACTCACTCCCATTCCAGTCTGCTCACCACGTCCTTTCCTAGGAACAGCTCAGGAATAAACCTCGTGGGACCATCCTACATTTTCCCAGGCCCTTTTTCTCCTAAGTGCACCCCACCCCTTCACACACCAGACAGCCTGTCCTTCCTCTACTGCTAAAGTACACTGGGTAACTTGAAGTTACCTTTTAAATAAGTGCTCCACCAGATCAAAGAGCCTTGAAAACTCGTTGTAGACAGGGAATCACACAGCCTCCCCTAAAATGTTAAGTGCTTCCAGTAAATGAATGCAAGCAGACCTCAGGCCACCAGGCCAATGTGTTCCAGAGAGTCATTCTTCCCATGAATTCTGCTCTTCTCTGACTCATCTTGCTCCAGAGGCTATTCTCCTTTCTTCATGGGAAAGTCGCGATTTGTTCAGCTGTAACACTAGCAACCATTTAATTCCTTTGTTTACTATTTCAGGTGGCTGAAGCACATGTGCCTAATTTCATTTTTGATGAATTCAGAACTGTCCTGTAGCCTTTTTCTCCTTCAATAAAAAGATCATCCTGAAGTATTCCCGCCATCACTAAACTCGGAAATGAAAAGAAACAACTGAACTGCTCATCTAACTGCATTTTCATTCCATCGTGGGAAGCATCATTCTAAGACAGATGTATCTCAACACTACTTATAACTAATTAGCACCAGTAGCTCACAACTGTAATCCTAGCTCAGGAGCCTGAGATTTGGAAATCCTGCTTTGAAGCCCACCCAGGCAGGAAAAGTCTCTGAGACTCTTATTTTCCTGCTAAAAACCACCAAAAAGCTAGAAGTGGAGGTGTGGCTCAAATGGTAATGCTACTGCCTTATAAGAAAAAGACAGGCCCTGGGTTCAGGCCCCCCACACACAAAATCATGGAATTATATGCAATTTATATCATGTAGAAGCAGAACCCTTTTTTGTATTCCCTCTTATAAATGCTGAATGTAATTGTTATATATAAATCTCTTTAATTTTATGTTCTAAAGAACTACTTGTGCAATTCAAGATTTTCAGTAAAATAGTATTACCAGTATCAGATGGTCCTGCTTATGATTCAAAAGCTAGTTTTGCATCCTGTAAAACATCCTGCTTGCCCGGCTAGATGGTGGGACTTTGGTCCACCCATGATTGGCACATGGTGACAGCCAGACCAGTAGTACAGGGAGTGACCAGTCTGTATCCATGTGCCTTCAAGATGTTTGGGGTTCACCATGGTGTCCAGTCCCAGACACCCTGATGGCTCTCAGCAATCTCCACTACAGGGACCTGAATTTTCAACTGTTCCTGCCAGCCTCTGCCTTCCATCCTCTACAGACCCTGAGCCAGTTCCAAGCCCCACCACCACATTGCTATCCATAAGCTTCTCATATCTTTTTTTTTTTTTTTTTTTTGGGTCCGGTCGTGGGGCCTGAACTCTGGGCCTAGGCGCTGTCCTTCAGCTCGTCAGCTCAAGGCTAGCGCTCTACCACTTGAGTCACAGCGCCACTTCCGGGTTTTTTCTTTTTGCTTATGTGGTGCTGAGGAATCGAACCCAGGGCTTCAGGCATGCAAGGCAAGCGCTCTACCACTGAGCCAACTTCCCAGCCCTCTCATATCTTTTTTAGAGGAAAAGAGAACAAGGTTTAGCCAAAAGCTTTTCACTCCTTCAAAGTCCAAACATGGTTCTTTCTACATGAAATGTTGCTGTTCTATGATAGCATCTTGGGTAAGAACCGGAAATATGGTTTTGTAAACTGCTGGAGTCATCGAATCATGCTGCAGAAGCACCGATTATGTAGCAGGAGGCACACTCTGAGTCCTGGTTCTGCCACTAACCAAACCTTTTCCCAAGCCAGCCTACTGGTGTCACCTGTAACATTAGGGCTAAACTTTTCAGGTTCCTTCAATATTCTGATTTGACTATTTCACTGTCACATAGAAAGGGTTGTAACAAGTCATGGAGAAGAAGCCTCACAACCTGGCAACAAAGCCCAGGACAGGGTGTCTGTGTGTATATGCCAGTACCAATACTTGAACTCAGTGTCTTGCCTCTCTTTTTCACTCATGGCTGATGCTCTACCACTTGATCCACATATCCAGCTTTTTTTGCTAGATTATTGATCTCAACTGGCTGAGCAACTATAACTATAGGTGTGAGCTACCAGGTACCCAGCTCAGGATGAGATTTTGAGGGAGCTGTTTTCAACAGCTGTAAGGAACTTAAAATCTTTCACTCTGCAAAGCTGGTGGTCAGAAACAGCCACATTTCAGTATCTTGCTTGTCTGTTAACATTAAACACAGTGAAGAGAAAACCAGCTACTAAAAAGACCAAATCTAAGAAAGCAAAAAGGTAATCAGAATACAGAAGCTAAGTAAGAGCCTCCAGATGCTTCACTAAAATAAGACAGAAATGGTTGGATTTGCCAGTGATTTGGCCGATTGACTTGAATTTCTCATTGAAGTAAATCAGAAAAATGTTAAAGAAAAATGTAAAAACTTTAGGATTCATTTTAGCCCTAGTCTTTGGAATCTGAACTCACGTTCCAGATGGTACTTAACTGCAATTTGCATGGTGTTTGGGGGTTGCTGAAGTTTCATGATACTCAGAACAGAGGTCTCCAAAATCTCCATTAGATATAAACTCAGGAAATTTGAACTGGTACAGTGCATGTTGCCAGGAGGTCTTTATATGCCTATCTGTATTATGCAGTAGAATTGATAAAGCCCTGACCGCTATTTATTCCTTCAGAGGCTTGATGCTGTCAAAGAATTCAGAAAAGACCTTTACCAAACCTCACCAGACAGTGGAGGAAAATGTGGCAGACAGAGTAGCTTCCCACAACCTCTATTGGAAAGGTTCCCTCTACACTTTCCAGCCTACTTGGGTTTTTCTTCCCATGATTGTTAAGCTTTGTAAAGAAGTCCACAAGAGACAGAAAAACTAAGAGTTCACTGTTTTATTTGCACGTCCCAAGGACTCACCCGAAATACTGAAATCAGAAACACTTCAGTTCCTCAGTGTTAGCACTAATTTATGGTAACAATCATTTCCTTTAAATATCTAGCTTATTTTACCCTTCATTTTAAATTGTAAATTAAGGCATATATTTACATGCTTATACACAAAAAACTTCAAAAAACAAGTGATCCCAATCTTGGTCCAAGAGTTTCCATTTGTGAAGTGGTACAGAACTGTGAGGGGGACATCCTCTTTCAAGTCTCATAGGAGCTGGTCAGTCCGGGTCCCTTTAAGACTGATGAACCACGTACCTTAATTCTGAGTAAATCAGGGGAAATATTACAGCACACGCTTTGTACATTACCATACAACTACTGAAAAGGGCTCGAGGCTTTGTAATCCAAGGTTCTGATTTAAAGCAAAAATAGGTGGCGTAGACTGCAACCGCAAAGAAGTGTCCAATTAAAACCAGAGGTTTGGGAGATAATCTAATGGGAAAAAATAGAAATAAAACCCAGAAATTAAAACTGATTCTTTATAAAAGGTTCTAATTATGTATCATCTATAAATAAGCTTAATTATACCCAGCATATATTTTAGAAAAATTTAAACTATGTTTGGCAGCAAAACCAACTTCTAAAAACTTTTTACAGGAAACCATTTAAAATAATCTCCTTTAGAGAAGCCAGTAATTTCTCTCAGAAATAATGATTTGGAACTCTTTTCTTTCCATAATCTTGAAATCCAAGGCTGAAATCCTCTGACCTGGACTGCTAAACTAGGCTTTTCCAAAACATGTCAGTATTGATATTCTGCTTACAGCTGACAAATGACTCACAGAATTTGACTTCACAGACTAAGAACAGTTTCCCAGATGTCTATACTGTCAAAGCTGACTCCTGAGTCCCTACATGTCAATCAAAATAATTCAGATTCCTCATAGATCAGACCATGTAGGTAAGCCCACAGGTAAAACCTATAGTTTTACTCCAGGGTTTTAGTTGCCATCTCCTACATCTTTGAGGCAATGCTGTTTGCTGCTAACGGATGCCTTTTTCATTCCCTGAGCCACATCCTGATGGGGATACTAATGGGTTATAAAACAAGGCAAAAAAGAATTGTGTTTCCCCAATACCAGCAAAGCAACTTACACAGAAAGCAGCCCAACAGGTCCAGCAACACATTCTCCACCAAGTTTGAAATAAAGAAAACAGGCTTTTCTTAGTTGGTGCAAGGAATCTAAAAAAAAATTTAGAAATCATTCAAAAATATTCATGCATTTATGTTAGACTCAATTTATTTTGGAAATAAATAATGACAGTTTACCAAACAAACCTGACAAGATAATTTTAAAACACCTACTCCTAGAATTTCAACTGCTAGGATACATTTCAAATTTTAAATTTAATTATAGGTAGAAATACAAGTATCCATTGATTTGTTTCTGTAACTAACTGCTACCATGTAGATACTGAAAGTTATTTAAAAGTTATTCAGCCGGGTGCTGATGGTTCACACCTGTAATTCTAGCTAGCTACTCAGGAGGCTGAGATCTGAGGAATGCAGTTCAAGACAGGCAGGGCAGAAAAGTCTATGAGATGTATCTCCAATTAACCACCATAAAACTGGAAGTGAAGCGTGAAGCTGTGACTAGACTGCTAGCCTTGAGCACTGTAAAAAAAAAAAAAAAAAAGATCAGGGACAGCACCTAGGCCCTGAGTTCAAGCTCCAAGACAGAGGAAAAAAAAAGCCTGGAGATTTCAAATTTTATTGATTAGGAATGTCCAACCTGTATATAGACTATTACCTCTACACAAAAAAGAAACAAAGCACAAGAATATTTCTAGTATAAAGGGTAAATATACTCTGCTACTTGTACATTTTAACAGGACAGAAACTATTAACTTGGTTAGGTTTTTTTATTTTTACTAGTACCAAGTTTGAAATCAGGACCTTGAGCTTGTTGAGCTTACTTACTCAAGACTAGCACTCTACCACTTGAGCCACACCCCCAGCCCTGCTTTTTGTGGGCTAATTGGAGACAGAGTCTCAAACTTTTCTGCCCAGGCTGTGTTCAAACCATAATCTTCCAGATCTCAGCCTACTAACTTGCAATGAGCGATGATTTACAGAGCTACTGGCTCAAGTAAGTTACTTAGCTGTAACCTATTTGTTGAAGTTCACGTTTATTTAATAAAATACTACACCTTAACATGCAATTGAAACTAGTGTCAAAGAAGTAAAAGAGCCTATCACCTTTCCATACATGACTGGAGACATGTTCCATCACAATTTTATGTGAGGGTGTGCATGATCAAGTCTAGACCAGAGAAATGAACACTAATGACTACATTAACAAGGTACTGCTATTAATGTCTAAGGAAAGGCAACAGTATTCCAGAAGGAATGGTAGATATAAGATGATGAGAACTGAAAGTTACAAAGAGCCACAAACTGGGCTGGGAATATGGCTTAGTAGTAGAGTGCTTGCCTAGCATGCATGAAGCCCTGGGTTTAATTCCTCAGTACCACATCAACGGAAAAATCCAGAAGTGGTGCTATGGCTCAAGTGGTAAAGTGCTAGCCTTGAGCAAAAGAAACTCAGGGACAGTGCCCAGGCCCTGAGTTCAAGCCCTGGTACTGGCAAAAAATAAAAAGAGTCACCAACATCAACTTAGGTGTTAACAAACTCAGAAACATTTGAATTCTGGACTAACTACTAACTTTTGTAACGAATTCCAGTTTTCTGTGCTAAAAATCTGCAACTGAACAGTGTTCATAAAAAATAAATATCTGAACTTACCATCTGTGGCAGAAAACAACTCATAAAGAGCCTGGGCGAGGACATTCACAACAAAGGAATGAGAACTTTTTCTTGACCAGTAGAATGATTTTTTGGCCTAAAAGATGAAAAATATCACTTATATTAAGAGAATGAAAGCATAAGCTAATGTTTAAGCCCTTCATACAGGTATTTACTGGAGTATGATCAGCAACTAATACAGCATTGTTTGTCACTTACAAAAGAAAGCATTTTCATAGTACGGGTTACATGACTAATGCTAACTTTAACATTACAACCAGTCTGAGCAAAGTGGCCTGTGGGAATCTAGTGTTGCACACAATATGAAAACACAAAAAGGAGGATACTCGTAGGAGAGGAATACAAAGGCACAATGCCTATGTGCATCTGATTATGTAAAATATTAGAAATGAACTCCAGGAAATGCAAAGATTTTTTCTTTGTTGCTGTTTTGTTGTTTTTTTTTCTTTGTCTCATTTGTTTCTTTATCTGTCTTTGGGATCTGGGAAGGGGGGGGGCTTGTCACTGAAATGGAGGAACAAAGTATAAACAAATGCAGCAATGGTACTCATTAGACACTGTACATTAAAATGAGCTATATAACTTGTGGGTGACAATGGGAGGGAAAAACTGGGAGAGAGTAAGGGAAAGGGTAATACTGTCCAAAAAGAAATGTACTCTTTATGTACTTTTAAATAACCGTAACCAGTTTGTGTATCACCTTTATAATAACAAATTTTTTTAATAAAAATTAAAAACACAAAAATGCAGAAATACTGTTAAGGCTCAGTTTGCAATTCATGTTCTTTAGGCCTGACCAAGACTGTCTAAGTACCACTGTGAAGCACATGCTCCCAAGTATGGATTGCCCATCAGGACCCCATTCTTCTTAGCCCCTAGAAAGAAATCCATTTGACATTTTTGTCAAAGCATAACCTAGTATCTTACCTGGAAAATGGCAGCATCATCATAAAGATCAGGAATAGCCTTTAGAAGCGTTCTCCATAGCTTTATATCTTTAAAAGCAACAGTCATTCCTCCACCAGTAAGAGGATGCCTCAAATTATATGCATCCCCCAAAAGAAGAACACCTAGAAGAGATCCTTAAAGTTATAGCATCCACAAACAACTCAAGTTTACTGTTCCCATAATTATAATGTGACTGATATGAGCAAAAAAATACAAAGATTGTCAATACAAGGAAACAAACTATGAGTAGAACTCATTGCAGTAAAGGTTCAAGAACTAATCCATTCAATATTTACTGGGGCATCTAATACCGTGCTAGGCATAAGAAGATAGTGATAGATAGACCTCATGAAATTTCATGAAATTCACAGGCCTAATGTGAAATCCAACAAGGTCAATCCATTTATAAAGCCTTTCTCAAGTTAAAATATGAGAAAATTCAAAAGAAACTTAGAAGCATCCAGATATAAGAAATCTCTTAAAAGAGAAAAACTAGATGTCTGTCATTTCAGTCATATTCAGTGTAGACAGCCCATACAGTACCAGCCCAGTCACACTGTAGTTCAAGTAGAAGACAAAAGAGACATTTAAAAAGAGTAAAACCAAACCAAAAAAAAAAAAAAAACCATCCTGCTAGGGCTGGGAAGGTGGCTCAGTGGTAGAGCGCTTGCCTTGTATGCATGAGGCCCTGGGTTTGATTCCTTAGCACCACATAAGTGAAAAAAGCCAGAAGTGGCACTGTGGCTCAATTGGTAGAGCACTAGCTTTGAGCTGAAGAGCTCAGGGACAGCGCCCAGGCCCAGAGTTCAGGCCCCACAACTGGCCAAAAAAAAAAAAAGAATTCTGCTAGGTGAAAAGCTGGTTGCCAAAAATCACATATCATATGACCATTTTTTGTTTGTTTGTTTGTTTTGGTCGTAGGGCCTGATCTCTGGGCCTGGGCACTGTCCCTCAGCTCTTCAGCTCAAATCTAGCGCTCTACCACTTGAGCCAGTGCCACTTCCGGCTTTTTCTGCTTATGTAATGCTAAGGAATCAAACCCAGGGCCTCATACATGCAAGGCAAGCACTCTACCACTGAACTACCTTCCCAGCCCCATGATTCCATTTGTTTAGAAAAAATCCCAAATAAGTAAATCTGGGGAGAAAAAATTAGTGGTATGCAGCGTTGGAAGAGAAAAGAATGGCTGCTAAAGGTTACTGGATTTTGTTGTTGTTGGGTGACAAAAGTTGTCTACATTCTATCTGCAAATGTTATTCTGCCTAAGTCCTTTGCCTCACTGTCCACCTACTGTCCACCCCAGCTCTGGCTTTACTGTAGGAGCTATGTTCTCCCCTAACACCCATTCTTCCTCACAGCTCACTCTCATGTACACCCTTCACAGTGACACTGCTACTAGGAATGGGGTTATTCCAAGCAATTTCAGCAATACTGCTGAAATGCCTCACATCCCTAACCTGAAAATTGCTTTCCCTAGATCCAGAACTGATTTCAACAGTTGTATCCTCAATTGTAATGTCCTCGGAGTCATGAAAATCCATGGAGGCACAGTTAAAGGTGACAAGGAGTTTTGTCTTTTTTTTTTTTAGTCGGTCGTGGGACTTGAACTCTGGGCTTGGGTGCTATCCTTCAGCTCTTCTGCTCAAGGCGAGTGCTCTACCGCTTAAGCCACAGCGCCACTTCCAGTTTTCTAGTGGTTTATTGAAGATGAGTCTTTCTGACTTTCCTGCCTGCTCTGGCTTTGAACTATGATCCTCAGATCTCAGCCTCCTAAGTAGCTAGGATTACAGGTGTGAGCCACTGGCACCTGGCAACAAGGAGTTTTATTTGGCCAGCCAACCACTGCCGCATCCTGGGAGGACCAAGAACAGCACTGATCTCCAGTAGGGCAGAGTTTAATATAGGTCAGAACCACACACAGGTGGCCGTTTACAGAAGCTCAAAGATGATTGGGTGGCAGGGATATTCTTCAGCTATAGTCAGGACCAGGCAAACAGCATTCTGGAAGCTAGAGATTCAAGACTGGAAGTGGGGATTATCAAGAAATGGAAAATCTGGTTACCACACAATGACTGATTCAATGACTTACAGAGTCAATATTAAGCACTAAGTAAATATAAAATTAATAATCAATCCTCTGCATCACATGTTCCCTACTTATAAACCTCGTCAACCTATATGGTATTTGGGATACTGATGCCTTTATAAAATGAGTCCAACAAATAATACCTCGTTTGTTCACTGGTGAAGGAGGAAGGAAGCTTGCTGGCATGGACCTCATACGGGAATTCTGAGTAGCTTCCAGAAATGATTCTTTCAGATGATCTGCAATAAATCCCATCAATCCAGATAAATGGGTTAAAACATTTCACTTTCAAATTATCACATATAAACAACTATTATACATCATCAAGTATAAGCAAAAATCTATGACACATATCTATTTTGGTTGCTACCTATATGTATCTCTTGCTGATGAAACAAGAACTATTTTTATTTTTCTTGCCAGTTGTTGGGCTTGAACTCGAGATGAGCACTGCCTTTTAACTTTTTTGCTCAAGACTAGCACTCCACCACTTCAAGCCACAGCTCCACTTTTGGTTTTTAGGTGGTTAATTGGAGGCAAGAATCTCACCATCTTTCCTACCTGGCTTCAACCTGTCATCCGCAGATGTCAGACTCCTGAACAGCTAGGATTACAGGCATGAGCCACCAATACTAATCAAATTATTCATTAAGCACCTAGGTATTCAAGAAGTCTAAAAGAAAATAAATGTACTGTCAATAGATGTATACATAGTTAGATGGAGATATTAGAACTATTTACCTTGTCTCATATAAATCTGAGACAAGGTAAATAGTTTATACTTAGAGAAGCTAAATTATCACTTATCACCTCAGTAAAATTGGAATGATGACAATGCCTACACTGAGTGGTTGTGTCTGTAAGAAACTATGCTTGTAAAGCCATCTGTGTAGCAAACATGCAATGAATAGTAGCACCATTACTATGGAAACCAAGCACAAAACAGGCATAAAGCTATTTCAAAAATTCAGAGTTGGGCACCAATGGTTCAGGCCTATAATCCTAACTACTCTGTAAAGGTGAATCAGCAGGCTAGCCTAGTCAGTAAGTTCACAAGACATCCTCCCCCCCCCCCCCTCCCCTGCCCCGCCACTCACGAATCTCAACCATTACACTGAACAGAGCAGAGTGTCAACCCATCATCCTAGCTTTTCAGGAGGCTAAAATCAGGAGGACATTGGTTCCAGGCTAATACAGGCAAAGTAAGTTCATAACTTAATAGAAAAATCAGGGTACAGTGGTATGTTCCCAACACCTCAGCTACAATAGGAAGCATATACAGGAGTATCATGGTTCAGGCCAGCGCAAGCAAAAACAAAACCCTACCTCAAAAATGAGAACACAAAGGACTGGAGATGTGACTCAAGCAACACAGTATCTGTCCAGCAAGCCCAAGACCCTTTGTTCTAACTCCAGTACCACAAAGAAAGAGTGAGAGAGAGAGAGAGAGAGAGAGAGAGAAAGAAAGAGAGAGAGACTTTAGACTACTGTCTCGAATACCTTAAAAATATCATATATTCTAGTAATTAAATCTCAATTACTAATAAATGCATACTTAACTTTTTTCTCACTGAACACAGGGCCTTAAAGCTTACTAGACAGACACTCTACCAACTGAGCAATGTCCTCACCCTAGAAACTGCTTATGTATATTTTTCAGTTTGTTCTTTTAATGTACTAGTTTAAATCTCTCAGCACCAGCTTACCTGGCTGGCAGGAGGCATTTTTTTTTTTTTAACCTGAGAAGCTAACCTCTGATCTATTTTTAATAGTTTTAAGGAAGAAAACTGGAGAGGGAGAGAAAGTCTTTTGTGAGATTTGCTTTCAGATTTTGTATTGGCATGGCATCCTATTTCTTACCAGGCATTTGTGGGTAAATTTGTTCAACCATGTATTCTCTTAAATTCCTTGGCATTTCCCCACGAATGTCAACAAGGACTCGAGTTTCATCAGATGAAATCTGGTAGATGAGAACTGGACTTGGATTAGCTAAAACGAGTTCAGCATAATTGGCTTTAAACTGTGGTGCATTCTAAAAGAATATAAAAAAAAAAGTTTACTAATTTTCAAATATCAAGTTATTGTAATACCCACAGTATTACAGAGAAATCCAGTACCTTCATAAGCAAGCCAACGAAATGAGATGAAACAAAAACTTTATTGGAGACCAGGTTCTTCCTGAACTTGGAGAAAAGTCCGTCTGCAACAACAGTCAATGGAGCGTGGAGTTCCTGCAACAGAAATAGCAAATGTACAGTTAGACAGAAATCAGACTGTTACTATTTTTTTTTTTGGTCAGTCGTGGGGCTTGAACTCTGGACCTGAGTGCTGTCCCTCAGCTCTACAGCTCAAGGCTAGCGCTATACCACTTGAGTTACAGTGCCACTTCCAGTTTTCTGATGGAGCTAAGAGTTTCAGGAACTTTCCTGCCCAGGCTGGCTTTGAATCTCTATCCTCAGATCTCAGCCTCCTGACTAGCTAGGATTACAGGCGTGAGCCACCGGCAGCCAGCTCATTATTTTTTAATAACACAGTTCCATGCAAGGGCCGTGTACCAGGGCTCACACTTAAAATCCTAACTGCTCAAGAGACTGAGATCTGAGGATCATGGTTCAAAAACTTTTTTTTTTGGTCAGTCATGGGGCTTGGGCACTGTCCCTATGCTCTTCAGCTCAAGGCGAGCACTCTCCGCTTGAGCCACAGCACCACTTTTCTAGTGGTTTACTGGAGATAAGAGTTTCATGGACTTTCCTGCCCGGGCTGGCTTTGAACCACAATCCTCAGATCTCAGCCTCCTGAGTAGCTACGATTACAGGCATGAGCCACCAGCACCCAGCCTAAAACCTGAGACTTTTATCTTCAGCAAAAAAACATCCAAAGTGGAAGTATGACTCAAGTGGTGGAACACCACCCTTGGTTTAAAAAAAAAAAAAAAGCTAAAGAAGAGCATGAGGTTTGCATTCCAACCCCAGTACTCACATGCATGCACACATACACACATATAAATACACCATTCAGGAGATTTAAGTATTATTTAAATATGTAGCATTATACATGTTAAAAATTAAAGAGTTAAGAGCACTGTGTGGGTACAAGGTCATGGGAGTCCTTGAGGATCATCTCCCTTTACAGTTCTTTCATCAAAACTACTCCCAAGCCAGACACCAGTGGATTCCACCTATAATCCTAGCTGAAATCTGAGGATTGTGATTTGATGCTAGCCCAGATAGGAGTCCAAGAGACTCTTATTTCCAATTAACTACCAAAAAGCCAAAAGTGGAACTATGAGTAGAGTGGAAGGGTGCTAGCCTGTGCAAAAAAGCTTATAGACTTCCCAGGCCCTGAGCTCCCAGTCTAAGAGACAGAGGAAAAACAACACCAAGACAAGCATGGACTACAGAGGAAACTTTGCAAAAGTACAATTGCTAGAAGGGGATAGATAACCAGAAGGCCCCTGGGTCCTTTACTCTGCTGTATTACTATGAAGATATATTAGAATTTTTTTTTATTTTGCCCTTTAATTCCTTAAGAATTCTGCTACTTATGCCAATAATCTGTTTATAATAATAATCCGTATGCCACACTTAAAACTTAAAATAATTTATGTGTATTTCACCACAATTATTTAAATAAAAAAGGATTAAATCATTAAAATGCCTTTCTGATTTAAACCACTCATTTTACCTTGTTTTATGTTGGCTCCTTTTTTCCTATTACCATTCCTCTTTGCTTCTCTGCTGATGTATATTTCTCGTACAGCTTTTTTTTTTTTGGTCAGTCATGGAGCTTGACCTCTGCGTTTAGGCACTGTCCCTCAGCTCTTCAGCTCAAGGTGAGCACTCTACCGCTTGAGCCACAGTGCCACTTCCGGTTTTCTAGTGCTTTATTGGAGATAAGAGTCTCACGGACTTTCCTTGCCTGGGCTGGCTTTGAACTGTGATCCTCAGATCTCAGCCTCCTGAGTAGCTAGGATTACAGGCGTGAGCCATCTGCGCCTGACTGCCTGACTTTCGTACAGCTTTTAATACTGTTAAATTGGCTTTGTTTTTCAAGTTTTTATATCATCTTTATGTGCACTCAAGAAAATGGATTGTAATCTGTAACCCATCCTATTTACACAGAACTTTCAGGACACGAAAAATTTGGAGTTCCAGGGCAGCTCATCACACCTGTAATCCCAGCTACTCAAGAGGAAGGGATTGGCTGAATGATGATTCAAGACCAGCGGGGGCAAAAGTTAACAAGACCCCATCTCAGTAAATAGGCTGGGATCAATGGCTACTGGGGAGGCCCTTAGTTAAAAGGATCAGCGAGGCTGAAGCCCAGGTGAAACTGCTAAGACCTTATCTGAAAAATAACAGAAGTAAAAAGGGCTAGGAGCATGATTCATGTTAGAGTGCCTACCTAGCAAGTACAAAACTCCAAGTTCAAACCCTAGCACTGCCAAAACATAATATTTACTGTGCCTCACCTTGACCTCTCCAGTCTCTTTATCTTTGTATTGAACGCCCAACACAGTGTCATCTTCTTCCAGAAGCTGCAGCACAACACCTTCAATAAACTTGGCACTGAAGGAAAAGCACAAATAAATTCCTATTGCAGCAGAGCCAAGCAATTTAACTTAGGATAAGCAAAGTTCTTATTCTCTAACTCCATCTTACTCATTTACCTGCACACTTGTGCAGGTAATGTGTGCACTTGTGCAAGGGGAATGATCTGGAATGACAAAAAAGCAAAAACCAACACTAGCAAGCTTGAGAACTACGTGTGGTTTTTACTTAGTAATTTACCAACATTGAATACTCGTTACAATGCAATGATTTTAAAAGTACGACTAGAGGTAAGGCTTAAGTGGGAGATCACCAGTTGGCAGCCAATGAGAGCTCTAAGACCCTGTGTTCAAGCTCTGATAGGGTAGGAGATAGGATGCATGCATGGATGGATGATGGATGGATGGATGGAATAGAATGATGGGATAGAATGAGAGCAATGGGATATATGGATCATACATATATACACAGAATAATTTGTATCTGAATTCATTAAAAGCCAAAATGCATGCAGAGAAACTTTTTTTTTTTTGGTCAGTGGTGGGGCCTAAACTCTGGGCCTGGGCACTGTCCCTCAGCTCTTCAGCTCAAGGCTAGCAATCTACCACTTGAGCCACAGCAACACTTCTAGCTTTTTCTGTTTATGTAGTGCTGAGGAATCAAACCCAGAGCCTCATGCATGTGAGGCAAACGCTCTACCACAGAGCCACCTTCCCAGCCCCAGGAAAATTCTTTTTTTTGGGGGGGGGCGGGGGGGGGAGGTGGGGTGGGGTCCCATCCTGGGGCCTGTACTCTGGGCTTGGGCGCTGTCCCTCAGCTCTTCAGCTCAAGGCTAGTGCTCTACCACTTAAGCCACAGCGCCACTTTCAGCTTTTTTCTTTTTGCTTATGTGGTGCTGAGGAATCGAACGCAGGGCCTCAGGTATGCAAGGCAAGCACTCTACCACTGAGCCACCTTCCCAGTCTGAAAATTCTTTATAGTTCTGATAAAGGAAAAAAATCTCTATATGATATTCTTTTTTTTTTTTTTTTGGTCAGTCATGGGGCTTGAACTCTGGGCCTGGGCACTCTCCCTCAGCTCTTCAGCACAAGGCAAGCACTCTACTACTTGTGCCACAATGCCACTTCCACTTTGCTGGTGGTTAACTGGAGGTAAGTCTCATGGACTTTTCTGCCCGGGCTGGCTTTGAACCACAATCCTCAGATCTCAGCCTCCTGAGTAGCTAGGATTACAGGCATAAGCCACCAATGCCTGGCTCTATATGATATTCTTAACAAAGGCACTAAATATAAGTATTCCTTCTAATATATAGTTTATTTTAGTATACCTATGTTCTAGACTATATCCCAAATATTTATCAAAAATTATAAAATCTCATTTGTACAAAGGCCAAATTTAATTCTTGTCTTACTTGGGCTCTGCCATAGCTGCCTTCCGAAGACTCATGATGAATTTTCCATGATGGAAAGCTTTTCCATTCAGCACTTGCTTGTCATCTGACAAAGGAAAAGGAATCTGAACTTCCGATTTGCTTTCGTGATTATGAATTATGTAGCCATTTACCACCTGGGCATCAAAACCATCCACTGTATCTGCAAAACAATTCAGTTCAAAAACAATTAAGCTGATTCATTAATATTAGGAATCCCAAAACCCAGAGACATTCAAAATAAGTTTCTGCTTTAAAACTATGAGACCATTTAGAGAATATAAGTATCTCAGAAACTTAATGTTCCTGGAAGAGAAGAGTTAATTTAAGCACCAGTATTAATATTAACAAAAGAAACCTAAATCATGTTATACACCCCCAGCTCCACTGCCTATGGAGCCCTGCATGATCTGGCATCTGTCTACCTTAATATCCAACCTTTATCCTATGTCACTCTTTATCGCCCACTACTTGTTAGCTATGTTGTTCTCCTTGTCAGTCCCCTAAACAAAGGGGCAAATACATACATGTCAGGAACTGTTCTGAATGCTGTTATGAATAGGAAGCCATTTAATCCTTACAGCATACAAAGCAGACACTGTTAATGTCTGCCATTGTACAAGTAAGGAAACTAACAAAGAAAGTTGTTAGGTTAAAGCTAGTTGTTAGCCAATAAGAACCAGAGTTGGTATATCAATTTTTAAGAGATTTCATAAAGTCTACTTCCTATCTCCTTACTAAAACTTTATATTCTCCTTATATTTCAAGCAAACTGGCAAAATATAACAAATTTTAGAAATGAAATGGGGAAGAAAACAAAAGAGAATATACATCTACTAATTATAGAACAGCCTGAAGTGAAGAGTGCTTGCTAGCCAGGTTCAGTGGATCATAGCTACTTAGGAGGGTAAGATATGAGGACCATGGTTCAAAGCCAACCCAGGCAGAAAGTCTTTGAAACTCTCATTTCCAAGTGACCAGCAAAAAAGCCAGAAGTGGCTATGTACTTGCTTATCAACATAACTCCTTGAAAATGTATGAACCTACCTCCAAGACCAAGGTCTTTAAGGGCTTCATAACCACCTGGCTGCAGAAGTTCACCAACAATTCTGTCGGGCTCTTTTAAATCTCTCTCAATTACTGTCACCTTTCTTCCATCTCTGGAAAGGACTGCTGCCAAAGCAGAGCCGAGTACACCAGATCCCACGATGATAACTTCTGGATCATTTAGAGATGTTGCCATGGAGGTAGCTGCTCCTAGTGAAGTTGTTTCTGACATACTGATTCCTTTTCTGCACTGTTTAACAAAAAGAGGGACATACATTTCCAAGTTGGTTAGCCTTAAACCATACTAGGACCATATAAATTCAGGAAATGGCCTTTTACTGAGTAAATGTTAGATCCCAAACCTCATTCAACCAAATTAACTGGTATCTTTCTTTTTCATCTTGATCGTATATAAAATCAATATTAAAATATTGGCTCAATTAAAAATGCGATATATAACAACTCAAAAATATATATTATTTTTGTCATCTCAAACATTATTTAGAGCTGGGCGCTGGTGGCTCACGCCTGTAATCCTAGCTACTCAGGAGGCTGAGATCTGAGGATCGAGGTTCAAAGCCAGCCCAGGCAGGAGAGACCGTGAGACTCCTATCTCCAATAAAACCACCAGAAAGCCGGAAGTGGAGCTGTAGCTCAAGTGGTAGAGCGCTCGCCTTGAGCTGAGGGACAGCGCCCAGGCCCAGAGTTCAAGCCCCATGGCCGACCAAAAAAAAAAATATTATTTAGAAATTATTGTTATAGGGCTGGGAAGGTGGCTCAGTGGTAGAGCGCTTGCATGCTCGAGGCCCTGCGTTCGATTCCTCAGCACCACATAAGCAAAAAGAAAGCCGGAAGTGGCACTGTGGCTCAAGTGGTAGAGCGCTAGCCTTGAGCTGAAGAGCTGAGGGACAGCACCCAGACCCAGAGTTCAGGCCCCACAACTGGACCCAAAATAAAAAAAGAAATTATTGTTATATTTATAAAAACCCACATCAGGTCTGTAGCGGGGTTCAAATACACACAGTCCCTCATACTTTATATTTCTATCATTAATAATTCTCCAAATGTATGCTGAGCATCTATGCAAATCTCTCACAAATTCTGATTAGCTTCACATTCTGCCCTATGCAGTACCTTTTAGATATTTCTAAACATACTCATCTTCACTTTCTTCTTTTGGATTTTTATTGCTTCAGAGTGGGGGGGGGGGGGGTGCTGTCCCTTAACTTTTTCTGGTTGGTGCTCTACCATTTGAGTCTCAGGTCCACTTCTGGATTTTTGCAAGGCTTTCCCATCCAGGCTGAATTCAAACTCTGATCCTCATATCTTAAGTCTCCTGAATAGCTAGGATTACTGGTCTGAATCACTGGCTCCCCAACTGTATTTTTTCAATTTTTTTTTTCTTTCGTCACTCATGGGGCTTGAACTCTGGACCTTGGTGCTGTCTCTCAGCTCTTCAGCTCAAGGCCAGCACTCTACTACTTGAGCCACAGCACCACTTTCAGTTTTCTGGTGATTTATTGGAGATAAAAGTCTCACGGACTTTCCTGCACAGGCTGGCTTAGAACAGTGATCTCAGCTTCCTGAGTAGCTAGGATTACAATACCCAGCTATCAATTTTTTACAAGTTCTCCCTACGTATCTCAGTTTGGCCTCCAATTCACTATGTAGTCCACACTGGCCTTGAAATTAAGATACGGCTGCCACAGTTTTCCCAGTGCTGGGATTAGAAATCTGGCTCTACTTTTGGATTATCATTGGGAAAAAAACCTATCAATCTAAATCAGCTTGACAGAATAAAAAGATTAAAATACTGGCTATAGTTCTATTAAGTGAAGATTAATTAAAGAAAATTATGAAAGAACAAAACTTATTTTGAGCCCCTTGACATTTGACTTAACAACTGCAGTCCTTAATTTGGAAGTACATATTTATCTCTTCCTATTTTCCCATCCTGGCACTTTGAAAAGCCTTTTTAAATTAGTTGTGGTCCTCCAACATAGAAACAAAGATGGACATTAAATCTATCCCTGGTTAGACTGACAGCAAAAACTTTTACTTTGGGGCTCAGAAGGTGGCTCAGTGGTAGAGCACTTGCCTTGCATGCCTGAGGGCCTGGGTTCGATTCCTCAGCACCACATAAGCAAAAAGAAAAAAGCCGGAAGTGGCGCTGTGGCTCAAGTGGTAGAGCGCTAGCCTTGAGCTGAAGAGCTGAGGGACAGCACCCAGGCCCAGAGTTCAGGCCCCACGATTGGACCAAAAACAAAACTTTTACTTTGATGCTAAAATTGTGTTTTTAGAGAGTTATGAATATTGACAATTGCGGTTCATGTTCTTTTTTTTTAATGTATAATTCATTCTCATAATAAGTGTTTTTGATAGATAGACTAACAAATTTGAGTATCAGATAAAGAATTGCAAAGAACCATTTTCGATGAGTTCTCCAACATTGGAGACTGTCAGACTAAATGTCACTTAAAGAGATTCAAGTAGAGGAGGGGGAAGTGTAATAAAATCTAAAATCCTAGCTGGGCGCCCATGGCTCACACCTGTAATCCTAGCTACTCAGGAGGCTGAGATCTGAGGATCACAGTTCAAAGCCAGCCCAAGCAAGAAAGTCCATGAGACGCTTATCTCCAATAAAACCACTAGAAAACTGGAAGTGGCTCAGTGGCTCAAGTGGTAGAGCAATGGCCTTGAACTAAAGTTTGCAGGGACAGCCCTCAAGCCCAGATTCAAGCCCCATGACCAATTAAGAAAAAAAAATCTAAAACCCTTTAGAATCTATACATCCTTAGAATCGCCACAATTCTAGTATTCACCAAGCATACTTTTTCCTCTATAATACATTCCTTTTTTTTTTAAAGGCCCGAGACCAGTACTCAAACTTGATACCTGATTCATCTGTTCATTGACTAGCGCTCTACCAACTAAGCCATGCCTCCAACCCCCATTCCACTGTTTGTATCTCACAATAGAAATGCTCTTTTGTCCTTTTTCTGTTCAAAGAGAAAAAATAGTCTATTTTTCCATTAGTTTTAAAGTTTAAAACAACTACTATTCAAGTTACTGTACCCAGTGTAAGACAAGCCTTTTTCATCATCTTAACCATTTATTCCATTTTTCTTCCTAAAATGTTTTGATTACACACCAAAGATCATGAGGAGAGCCCTAAAATCAAATCTTTCAGAGCCAGATCAAGAGGAAATGCAAATGGAACTTAGTACTCAACAGATCACTCTCTGACCAGCTATCTAATTTCTAAAGACAAAGACTGAAGCATTCAGAAAAATATACTGCTGCAAGCAACCTAACTTTCCCTACTAAAAAATATTTCTCTAGAATGCATGATGACAGTAACAGCATTCCAACTACTAGAACAAATGCAGTGACCCTAAGTTATAAATACCAGGGTTTTCAAATTAAGAAAGATTCCCTCCTCCTCATTTTCCAACCTATACTCAACATGCCACTGAACAAAACGACTCAAAAGGCTTCCAACAAATGTACACTACTCTAGACTACTATTGATTACCACTATTCACTAAATGGCTGGGAACCTGGCATTTGGCAAATATTAAACCTTTGAGTTCCCTGACTACCCACATGAGCGGTGCCATCTTTATCTACCAGATATAGATGATTCTGTCTTCATCAGAACAGTAATTGATTCTTACAGAAATTAAGCAATGAACCAAAAGCCTCCCAGTTGGAAATGGTAGAGCAAAAATTCTAAACTAGGGAGGGAATGAGGGAGAAAAATGAGGAAAGGGGTAACAAGTTGGACAAAAAATGTAACCACTGCCTTACTTAGGTAACTGTAACCCCTCTGTACATCACCTTGACAATAAAAACAAATAATTCTAAACCAAGTCCCTGTTCCTATAAACACTGTTCATGTGTCCTGTGAATACAGCAAAATGATGCAGATACAGAAGTCTACATAACTTCGTAGGTCACATACCCTAACTTCAAGGCTGGGTGTCCTGCTACAGTATGGCCTGATAACCTTACTTTCATAACTACATATGTAAAATCCATTCTTCACAGCAACTGGAATGTTCTTATGAAAAAAGTAAAATTCAAGGATTCTTATCCATGCTTAAAACTCCCCAGTGCTCTTGAGTAAAAGTCCAAACTTTCCTGGCCAACAGGTCTGACTGGTGTGGCTTCCACCACCTCTCCCCACATCTACTGTCATCAGCGTCCTCCATCCCCTTGGCAGGAATCCTAACTTCACGCCATTTAAAGACCCAGCCTCTAATTTATTTCCTTGAGACAACGTTGTATTGACTCACAGTGTCCCAGTGCCTACAGGCAAGACATAAAACATTGTGCCCAATGCTTTAAAATGTGGGGTATTTTTTAACTGTCTTGTTTTTCTTCCTTCCCAACTACAAAGGCAATCCTCACCCCAGGATTTCAGTAAAACTTTTTTGCCAACAGCAAAAAAAAAAAAAAAGTTCTGTCCTCCTTCAGAATGAAATATTTCATCTTTCCAAACCAAATCCATATCCAACCTTTGTCTAAGTATCAATCAACGCTAAATGAAATATTTTTTTCACTTTTCTTTCTATCGAAGTAGCCATGACCCAGCTTAAAGAAATTCCCCTAAATGTAAATTGTCACCTTTCGCGAAGTAAAACTCGAATCCGAATTTTAAAAATTCATTAGAACATTCATTCATTTGCCCCCCTCAGCCATCAGCCTTACCCTCCGGGACTCCAGCTGCCCTTTCTTTTCTGCCCCAGGGGGTGACTTGGCCCAGAAGAAGCCAACGAGGGGCAGAGCTGAAAGAACATCGAAGATGGCAAACTGGGAGCCGCTAAGCTGGAGCCCCAGGAGGCCCCCGTTTCGATGGCGGTAGCGATAGGAAAGCACCAGGCCCAGGGTCAGGAACACCAGCACGCACAACAGGAGCTCCTTGTTGGCCAGCGTGACGAAATCGCCGCATTTCTTATAAAAATAGGTGAACGTGGCAATGCCGAGAAAAGTCCACATGGTTCGACGGCTCCTTTGGTGGCACCGATCACAGCCGAGCTTCTTCTCCCCAGCCACCCCAATGGGGTTCTGGCGATTCCTTCCCCCGCCTAAGAACACAAGGTAGTCTCGGGGGGATGCTCGCCGAGCACCCCTACACCATGTCCCAGGACTGCCAGTCAACGAGGTCAGCGTTTAACACACGGACGCGGGCCGGGCGCGCGGCGCGGCCTCCGGGCCAGCCCTCGGCTGCCGGCCGTGGGGGCGGTTTCCGCGGCGGCGGCGGGCGGCCTGGCGGCTTCCGACGTCGGCGAGTCGGCGGTGGGATGGCTCTTCCACTCCCCTCTCCTCTTCTCTCGCGGGTCGGCGAGGGCGGAGCGGCTCGGCCGAGGCCCGAGGGCGCCGGCAGGTGGGACGGACCGTGCCCGGCCCTCCCTCGGGGCGCCACGCCTGGACCGCCTCCTCCCTCAAACCACCGCCTCTGATTACCCACCGCGGCCCCGCGCCCCGACCTGGCGACGTCTCCGCGAGCCCCGCACTCGGCGGCCCGGAACCCGCCGGGCGACACTGCGGCCCCCAGGCAGGTGAGCGCGGGAACACGGAGCCTCCCTCCGACCCCCGGCGGCGGCGCCCGGCGGCCTCCTCACCAGCATCCCTCGCGGGCAGCCACGGCTGCCCTCCCCCCGCCCCCGACTTCCCGCGCGCGTCGCTTCCACCGTAACCAGAGTAACCGCCGCACGCCCCGCGCTCGCCGCCCGGGCCGGCGCGCTTCAGCAGTCGGGGCGGGTACGGTTCAAGGGAGGGACCGAGGGGAGGCGGGACCGCGAGAGCGGCCACGCCCTGCTGCGGCTCCGCCCCCCTACCCCACCACCAGCCAATGAGGATGCGCTCCGCGCGGTAGGCCGAGATGGCGCTATGGGGCGCTCAGCCAATGGCGGGCGGCACAGTCCAGGCGGCGTCGCCCGGAGAGGCGCTAGGGCGATGTTGCGTGGTGAAGGGTGGGGGCGTGGGGTGGGCGCCCGGCCCAAGTGGGCTGACGGAAGGTATCTGCGGGCTTCGTGTGGGGCGGGGCCTCGGCCGGCTTCTCTCCACGTCCGGGCTCGAGGCCCTCCCTGAGGAGGAGTGGGGCGGGTTCCGAGGATGGACCGGCCTGGCCTCGGGGGGCGGAATGAGCGCCCGCCGCCCGCCGAGCCCCGCCCGACCCCGCGTCGCTGGGAGCCTGAGCCGGGTGCGGCGGAGGGTGCGTGTGGAACGTGAGGACAGCGCCTGGGCGGACGCGGCCCGTGCCGGCCACGGCAGAGCCTGCCGGGCCTAGCCTTGCGCTGTCGTGGGGTTAACTCGCGCCCAGGCACGGGGGGCTCCCGGCGTGGGGCCGGTGCTGCTCTGTGTGCCAGAGCATCGTGGCGCCATGCTGGGGCTTCCCCAAGGTTTCCCCACCCCGAGACGCCGGCCTTCACCCGCGGCGCCGTCGATGGGCCCTGCTGCAGGCTCTTGGTCCCCTCTGCCCTCGGGTCACCGCGGGCCTTCCTGTTCGTGGCACCTCCGTATTTACTGATTCTGCTTAGGGCTGTGTCTTATCTCGCCAATCTCAAAATTATCTTGAGGAAAGGGTCTGATAAACTTAATAAATGAGTAAGATTGACTTTGGCACCAAAGGAAGATCTGATGACTAGAAGCCTCTAGATTGTGACTGCCTCTAACCAGCTTTTATTTTTATCTTACTGGGGCTTGACCTCAAGAGCTCTAGCTCTTGCTTAGATTGCTTGCTCTTTGTTTGGTGCTCTGCCTGACCCATTCCTCCAGGCAAGCATTTTGCTGGCTAATTGGATATGGAATCTCATGGAATTTTCTGCTCAGGCTAGCGTTGAACTGTGAGACCCTCCTGAATAGGCAGGATTACAGGCAGGAGCCGCTCGTACTCAACTATAACCAGCTGGACACTAAACCACATCACTTTAGGCCCAAAATATTCTATTTTACCTGCTAATAAGATATTTGTCAGAACACTCTTGTAGGTGTGTGTGTGTAAATTGTTGGCCAATAAGATACATTAAAAACAATGAAATTAAATTAGCATTAACTCCTCAGAACATTAACATATACCATAAAATTACACAGAAGTTATCCATAAAATAACACCATGTAATGATATGCCTCTAGATTTTAAAAAGTCAACAATGACCATGTGAAAAGGCAAATGTTATCAATTTGCAAGGTGCCCACAAGGCTAACTAGTCCAGTAAAAGCATATTCCCTATGAATTGCCAAAGTTCATCAGGCAGTTTATGACTTTTTATGACAAATGATTATAACACATAGTGATGCGTAATGACAGGAGAAAAGAAGCAACTTCTAGAAGAACTTAGAAACTTGATGGAGGGCTGGGAAGGTGGCTCAGTGGTAGCGCGCTTGCCTTGCATGCCTGAGGCCCTGGGTTCGATTCCTCAGCACCACATAAGAAAAAAGCCGGAAGTGGCACTGTGGCTCAAGTGGTGGAGCGCTAGCCTTGAGCTGAAGAGCTGAGGGACAGCGCCCAGGCCCAGAGTTCAGGCCCCACAACCAGACCAAAAAAAAAAAAAAGAAACTTGATGGATAATTAATTAAAAATCAAGGTGACCAGACACAAATTTTTAGGATTTAAATGGTCCTCAAATAGCAGATATATACTAAAGACAGTCACAGACAGAATCATGACAATAGAAATCCCTACACCTAAACATAAAGCTGATAGGACTATTTAGTTACAGAAGACAACAAAGACCTTATTTAAATATCATACTACAACCTATGTATAAAATGACAATAAAGTCACAGGACTTCACATGAGGAGCAGAACTGGATCAAGCACTAAAACATCAAATGATTGTCTCTGCTTTCCAAAAACTACATTACCCACAATGTAAGTACAATTAAGATTAGAAATCAAAGCCATGAATCAGTGGCTTATGCTTATAGTCCTAGCTGCTCAAGAGACTGACACCTGGGGCTCTTGGTTTGAAGCTAGCCTGGGCAGGAAAGTCTAAAACCCCAGAAATGGGGTTGTAGCTCAAGTAGTAAAGCACTAGCCCTGAGCAAAAAAATCTCAGGGACAGCACCCAGACTCTTAAGTTCAAGCCCCAGGACTGGAGTAACAACAACAACAACAAAAAAAAAAAAAAACCCAAAGATTAGAAATCATGATGGCACAAGACATGGCACCTGGCCATATGAACCAAGGAGCCAAACAGCATAATTTTGTTCCACCATGATTCTACACAGTTAAATTCTCATAGGCATCAAGTATATACTTTTTGAAAACTACATTTGGTTAACTTATGAGACACAAAAAGATTCAAACACCTCTGACTGGCAAGGGACTAAAATCAGATGTATTTTACCTTCACTCCACTAGATAAAGGTGAGTCCAGAAAGTTGGCAGGTATCCAGATTGACCAACTGATCAACCAGGCCCAAAAAAAGAACTTCTCTTCCCTTTGTAGAGAAGATGAAGAAGATGTGGATCTGTTGGCCAGGATTCATACCAAAGTCACAACACAGCCATCCCAACATAGGGAAATGGGATCTTGCCTTGTCAAATAACCTCCATATAACCTTGTTTACAGACAGATCAGCTTCATGGCCCATGTAAAATAGAAATGAAAATCAGCAGCCTTAAGGCGAGGACCAACATGGTCTTCACTGAGCCAGGTGCTCAGTGGTCTGCATGTCATACAAAATTCATAGCCTTAGTACTCACAGTCAGATGATCAGAAGTGAAAAACAGACATAAATATATGTTTACAGACTCCACAGTGGCAAACAGCATAGCCCTGTCAGTCACTCAAATGGACACATAATGACACATAAATGGCAAACCTATGGTCATACCAATATTGGAAAGACAAGAAGCTTCAAAAGAAAAAAAAAATGACACCAGGGCCAACACACATATCAGCAAAATCAGAAGGATGATTCACAAACAACCAAATACAATAGCCAGGTCGATGACCCCACTTAAAACATAAAGATAGAGGACCAGGTACCTAAATTAGAATTAGGGATACAGATTAACTATAGACATATACTTTCACTTGTAACACTGGGGAAGGGCAAAGATGACATATGGATATTTCCAAAGTAACCAATAAGAAGGGAAGAAAAAATCCCACAAACTAAAATTCTAAGGTCCGTTCCTGGATGGCAAGCAGACACTGCCCTCCTAACAGCCAAGTCTCCAGCCAGTACCTTTGTTACCTAGGCAACTGGCACACCTAGAAGAGGTCACATTCTGCATCCTCTGAGGTCACATCTGGATCCCTATGTGGCCACACCTTTCTGGTCCCACCTTCCTCTACCTGGTCTCACCTTCCTTGGCCATACCTTCCCTTCCCCCCCCCCCCCCAGATAAGGCATGGCCCAGGGCCAGATGCTCTCTTTGCCAGCCTTATGGAGTGCCAACTTGGCCTGGTGCCAGCTGGTCCGCTGAATAAACCTACCCCTTACCTGAATACCACGTGCATGGTGTTGTTCTCACTTGGCAGCCTCTTTAAAAACCTAACAAAAATCACACCATGGGACATCTTTAGGTAAAAAAAAAATATATATATATATATATATATATATATATAAAGGACATATGAACACTCACTATATAAAAGGACAGCAGATGGGAACCAGAAATAACTTGACATGAGATACGAGAGGCCATGCAGAGTGCAAAATCTCATTGATAAAATTTAAATTCAGAGTTCCAACAGACACTATTCAAGCCAGATACATTTAATTTTATTATGCAGATACACTTTCCAGGACCACTACAATACCACCAACCAAAAATATTTGGTAGCAGTGATAGACATCTACATCGTTTAAGCTTTAGCAGCGGCCAAACAACAGCTTTTCCAAGCTGAGCACTGATGCTATGAAATGTAGTCCTCTAGGATAACAGAGAGTGACAAAGGAACCCATATCACAGTAGAGACAGTGCAGTGCTTGTTAGACAATGAGATCTGCAATGGAATCTTCATTTACCCTATAACCCTACACGAGCGTGACATATTGAAAATTTGTATAATCTATTGAAAAGAAATCAATTAGAATTCTAAACTTTGCAATTGAATGTGCTTCAGGTATATTTCTGTGTAAAAGAGATTGAAGGATTAAGGGAAGCCTGCATTCCTATTTTAATATAATTTTAAAAAACAGAGAAAGAAGAAAAATCGAAAACTCCCAACACGTTACCTTATGAAGTCCAAGGCAAAACTAAAGATTAAACATATATCACCACAAGAGATTCTGGCACCAGGAGACAAAAACTGTTTTGGACAACAAGACACAAGGGACTGTATATACATATATATATATAATATATATATATATATATATATATGTTAGATATAAGTTAGTTATGTGTATGTATTTATATATATACATGTATATGTATGTGCATGCATACATATGTACATATGTAACTCAGCCTAAATAACTAGTATGTATATATACATATATATCAAAATAACTAGTCATAAATAAATTGATCGTGTTGGCCATACTAACTTTCACCTTCAACTTGACTACTGCACCAATAATGTACTAAGTACTTAAACTGTTTTGCTAAGACTATTGACTCCTTTTTAGAGTCCATGAATAATTAACTAAAAGCAGGAGAAAAGTATAGCATCCTTGCCTCTGTTTTAGATAGATCTGTCCTTGTTCTGTCACTTTGCAAACAACTTGGAAGCCATATTGATAATATATTTTTAATAAGGAAATGGAGAAAACTGCCCTAATGGACAGAGCACCTGCCAGGCAACCATGATTTGATTACCTGACCAGTGATGATAATTATAGCAACTCCAGAACCCCTCCATAATTATTAACCAGGCTGTTGTTTGACTAGAACTGTTTAGTAATTATGCATAACTTTCATCCTTTGCTCCCAGCTCTTTGTCTATTTAAATCTAAACCTCAAGTCTCTACCCTAAAGATAGCTGAAGATGGTCTCCCTCCTTTCAGAGTATGCCCTGTGTCATAAATAAATGTCTTTGATCTAGTCTTTCCTATTATTTATTTGGTGTATAGAGGCAAGTGGTTGGACCTGACACGTGGAATTCCAGGGCTTCAGGTATAAGGCCTAAAAACCTCATTTCCATGACTCTTGCATTGACATTCCACATTAGCTCATTTTTGCATGAAAAAAAATAATTATTTCTCCTATATTGCTTCTCACACAAGCATGTCATGAAGGAAGAGGCTGCAGAGAGGTATGACTGGCGTCTCTGAGATCTGTGATGCTCTGGGGATTTTACCTGCTCAGTAGTCTCCAGTTCTGCAGTGGCAAACTATAGGATGATTTTGCTCCTTTCTCTCATGAGAAATAAGAAACTGTCAAGCAAACCTGTAGACAATCTGAATACATAAGTACGTGAGTCAAGACATATTTAGACATTAACATAAAATACATAAGCATGATACTCATTCAGCATTCATTGATGCCACCATTTGCCAAGTGTAGCATCAAATGCCACAGAGGGGGGCGGGGGGAGGATGGGAAGGGATGGGAAAGGGAAACAAAGGAGGAGGCTACAATGCTTGATAAGAAACGTACTCATTATCTTGCCCATGTAATTGTAACCCCTCTGTACAGTATTTTCACAATAAAAAAATGCCACAGAGCTTGCAATTTTACAGAGCAAACCTAACCCACTTTAATCAGTAAGTATCTCTAGATCTTCATATTTTTTAAGTAAGTTTGAAAATGGAGTCTTTAGCAGAGTGGGTATAGTTCCAGAGATAGTAAAAAGGAGCCATAAAAACTTGCATGCTCTTCTACAACAAGACCATTCTTACACATTTTGCTCGTCCCACTGTCACTTGACCTCTGTTACTCAGAGAGGTCATTAGTAGGATTCCAGAAAGTAAGAGACTAGCTGAGACCAGTCTTTCAAACATATAATGGGCCATTGCCAGATTCATCGTCCATACTTCCCATTATGAGTGAGGAAATTTCTACACCTTGAGGGAGAAGGAACTTGGTAAACCTGACTTGGATGACATGGTCAATGAGAGGGTCCACGTTCATATTAGAGGTATCTGTTAGCAAGTTCTAGCAGTTGTAAGGGTGTATAGCATTTAGGGGTGCACTTCCTGCTAATTCTACAGCTATACACATTACTCTGCGTCTTCCTATGACACTGTAGGGGAAAAAAAAACCAGAAGTCCCTTTTTTGAGTAAAAATAGAATATAATAATTAAAAGAAATTATGAAACCATAAATAAGAATGTTTCTTTACCCACAATGCTGCTGAGTCATTTGTGCTAGGAAGAAAAATAGAAAACACAGGCTGAGCGCTCATGGCTCATGCCTGTAATTTTAGCCACAAGAGAGAAGGCCAGCCTAGTTCAAGGCCAGCCTGGGGAAAGTTTGTGAGACTTCCATCTCAACCAATAGCTGGAAAGTGATATGCCCCTGCTATGACAGGAAGTGGAGATAGGATTGATGTCCATACTGGCCTGAGAAGAAGTGAGAGCATAATTCAAAAATAACCAGAGTATGGGGCTGGGAAAGTAGCTCAGTGGTAGAGTGCTTGCCTTACATGCATGAGGCCCTGGTTTCAATTCCTCAGCACCACATAAGCAGGAAAAGCCGGAAGTGGTGCTATGGCTCAAGTGGTAGAGCGCTAGCCTTGAGCTGAAGAGCTGAGGGACAGTGCCTAGGCCCAGAGTTCAGGCCCCACGACTGACAAAAAATAAAAATAACCAGAGTAACCAAAGCTAGGGAGGCATGGCTAAGTGTAAAATTTCTGCCTAGCAAGTACAAAGCTGTAACTTCAATACCCAGAACTGAAGAGAGAGAGAAAGGAAGGAAAGAAAAAAAGGATGATGGGAGGGAGGGAAGAAAGGTGATCAAATGTATGTTATGATCAAAGCAAGGGTCTTCTGAACTCTAGGTAAGCACTTTACCACTGAGCTACTGAGCCCTATTTCTGTTCTCGAATACTTTATCCTTAGGGTTCCTGTTAATAATCACAGTCTCCAAGCAGGATAAGTTTGGGGCTATATTGCTACTTCTGTTTTCTTTCTTTTTGAGACAGGGTCTCACTATGTAGCCCAGGTGACCAGGAACTTGACATCCTCCTAGCCTCAAACTATTTCTGTGTTAAAAACATGTGAGCTAGGCATGGTGGTGCCTGCTTGTAATCCCAGCACTTGGGAGAGGCTGAGACAGCCCAAGCAAACTAGGCTACCTAACAGGACCCCCTGTCTCAAAAGAAAAAAATACATTTTTCAATTTGTTTCCACGAATAACAATGCCATTAGAATTTATTGAGATTCGGCAATGGATTAAGCACTGTGCTTAAAATCCCCATAACAATCTTGCAAACTAGGTATTATCTTTGCTATACAGATGGAGGAACTGAGGCTTAGCTTATTGTGTGAATTTGCACAGATCATGTGATTGATGACTGTACACCATACTAAGGCTGCTGCTGAATTTCAGCCTCAATCATACACCCATAACTTAATTAGCAAATGTTAATCCAACTCTGAGTTGTCTGTGGTTTAAAAAAAAATACTGTGAGAATGGAGACCAGCTCCAAGTGGTAGAAAGTCTCTTTGCAACCGTGAAGTCCTGAATTTAAACCCCAGTATGGCCAAAAGAAGAAGTAAAATCTCATCCCTGTATATTATAATTTAAATTGGGCAATGCTGTATAAGATAGAAAAATGCATAGGGGAAGAATCACATAGGAATCAATTATAACCAATGTTTCCTCTTTGAAAAGGAAAAAAATCACCCCATAGTATTTTATTACCTTTATTGTTAGTTTCTGCTTTATCTTTAATCATATAAAAAGATTAAAAAATTGAGCAAGGTGCCAGGAGCTCACATCTGTAATCCTAGCCACTCAGGAGGCTGAAGGTTTGAAGCCAGCCTGGGCAGGAAAGTCCATGAGATTCTCATCTCCAATCAACTACTTAGAGCCAGAAGTGGCACTCTGGCTCAAGTAGTAGGGTGCTAGCCTTGAGCACAAAAAGGCTCAGTGCCTGAATTCAAACCCAAGGACTGGTGCAAAAAAAAAAAAAAAAAAAAGATGCAATTGTTTCATCAATACCACAATCATAAAGCCTCCTGTCACCAGATTCCTCACCAACTACACCCTTCACAGCAGAGTTGGCCCTGTCTGGTTTCACGTGCCTAATATCCATCTCTACATAATCTTCACACAATGTATGTCAAACCCAACAATGCGTTGAAATCCTGAGCACCTCAAAGGAGTCCTGAACTTTCTCTTCATCTACTTTTTGCACTAGTATGTCCCAAAGCAAGACTCCCACAGAACAGACTATGAGGTCTCAGTTATCAGATCCATAGACCAAATACATCAAGAGGTGACCAAACAGAAGCTAAGGAATCTCAAGGTCAAAGGCAAATGGTCTCTGACCACTGATTCAGAATTAGTGGGTCAATTAGGAAACAAACCCATTCTCTGATCAGACTAGACTAGGAATTACATAATGAAAACCCTGAGGGAAGAAAGATTATCAAAATTTAAAAACAAGCTGGGGAGTGGCAGAGCACCTGCCTCAAGTTAGAGAAGTCTTGGGTTCAAATCACAGTACTATCACACACAAAAATTAAGAACAGAACTCAAGATTCTAGGCCCCCTCCTCCCCAGTTCTGGTTTCTGGTCTAGATAATGTTCTTATGAGCCCACTTCTTTACCCTTGGGTTATTATCTGAATTTTTACTTGGAGCCTTTTATATCTTGCTTTAAAACAATCACAACAACGATCTTTTTCTTCATCCTTGATGGTGTCTCTTACTGGATAGATCCCAGACCTTAGACATCTGATTCTTCCTTAACCAATATACCCACTGAAACCTCAGGGCACCATGGGTAGCAGTGGGGGCGGGGTGGGGTTGGGGGACCACCAGGCCTCTGGGACTCAGGAAGATGAATTTGAGAGTGAAAGGAAGGGATGAGGACCATCTCCCCTGAGCACGTTTTCCATGTCCACTCATGGGGAAAACTTCTCACTTCTGAAGATTCAAAAGACTTTTTGATGTGACTTTTCTGATGCTGACTGAGGTAAGCACTTCTGCTGAAGCATTTCTCACAGTTGACACATTTGTAAGGTTTTTCTCCTATGTGGGTCCTCCGGTGCCTGATAAGGTTAAAGCTCTGACTGAAGTGCTCACCACAATCAGGACATTTATAAGGCTTCTCTCCCGTGTGTGTCCTCTGGTGAATCATTAGAGTAGAGCTCTGACTGAATGTTTTCCAGCACTCAGAACATCGATAAGGCTTTTCCCCAGTATGTGTTCTCTGATGTCTAATGAGATGGGAGCTAAGGCCAAAACTCTTTCCACATTCACAACATTTATATGGTTTCTCTTCTGGTGGGACTATGCATTTTTCTATCACACTGCATCTCTGAAGCACGCTTTCTTCACATTCAAATTTCCCATCAGATTTTTCTCCTGTGTGTGTTTTCTGGTGTGAAAGAAGGCTTGAACTTCGACTAAAATCCTTCCCACACTCTGGACACTGATAAGGTTTTTCTCCTGTATGTATTCTTTGATGCTTTGTTAGAGTAGAATTACAACCAAAGTTTTTTCCACACTCAAGACATTTGTAGGGCTTCTCACCTGTGTGTGTCCGCTGGTGACGAATCAGGCTGGAACTCTGAGTAAAACTCTTTCCACAATCTGGGCATCTGTAGGGTTTCTCTCCAGTGTGAGTCCTTTGGTGTTCTATGAGGACATAGCTGTGGCTGAAGCCTTTTCCACAAACAGGACACTCATACGGCTTTTCACCTGTATGTGATCTGTGATGCTGAATAAGGTGGGAGCTGCTACTGAAACTCTTCCCACAGTCAGGACATTTGTAGGGTTTCTCTCCTGTATGAGTTCTCTCATGGATAATGAGGTGGGAAGTATTGCTGAAGCTTTTCCCACACTCTGCACACTGGTAGGGCTTCTCTCCTGTGTGAGATCTTAGATGCTGAGTTAGGTGAGAACTGTTAGAAAAGCATTTCCCACACTCAGAGCATTTATAAGGCTTTTCTCCTGAATGGGTCCTCTCGTGAGTACGCAAATGAGAACTATTACTGAAACTTTTCCAACACTCGAAACACTTGTAGGGCTTGTGTCCAAAGGGTAAATTTGGCTGAGCAGAAGATGTGCTGTGATCTACGGAATCCCATTCCTGAAGATGGAGTATATCATTCTCTTTCCTTGTAGGATTTCCCAAAATCTCTAACTTACCTTCATTTTCATAGGAATTGTGACACCAAATCTGATTTCCTTGGAACATTATCAGTGGTACTTCTTCATTATCATCATGCTTAGAATTCTGCGGACCATGTCTTTTAGACCATTTGAAGCACTCTCATTAAGTTTATCTGTATCCAGATTATTGTGTAGAAAAGTTCTTAAACTAGTCTTAGTTTCATCTGTAAGAATAAACAAAAGTTCTAAACATTCCCTAATCACTGCTGGACAAAGAAATTCTGAATTATGGTGGGGTAAACAGCAATGTCAAATCTTATAAAATATTTTATAGAAAAAAGTTTCTAAAGCTAGTGTTCCTTCTTTTACTCTATGAGGTCACCAGAGGCAGGTGAATTTGTTGTCCTTATTAACAACAAACAAAGTATGTAAACTATCATCAGATATGGACAACAGGATGGACATCAATCTAAAATCAAATGTATAAACTTTATTTTAGAAGAGTTTAAAAAAAATTAGAGCTTGAATACAGAATCTGGGCACTATCTCTTAGATTTTTTTTGCTCAAGAATGGCACTCTACCACTTGAGCCACAGTTCTACTTCCAGCTTTTTGTGGTTAATTGGAGATAAGAATTTCACAAGCTTTCATGCCCAGGCTGGTTTTGAAGGGAATGGTGATCCTCAGATCTCAGCCTCCTGCGTAGCTAAGATTACAGGAATGAACCAGTGCCCAGTCTTTTCTAGAAGACTTAAAAAAAAAAAAAGGGAACCTAAGTGGTGATAAATCTGAAGAGGGTTGCATATGAATAGCAGTAGCTACTGTTATAAGAATAACATATCTCAGGCTGGGAAGGTGGCTCAGTGGTAGAGCGCTTGCTTTGCATGCATGAGGCCCTGGGTTCGATTCCTCAGCACCACATAAGCAAAAGTAAAAAGCCAGAAGTGGCGCTGTGGCTCAAGTGGTAAAGCATTAGCCTTGAGCTGAAGAGCTGAGGGACAGCGCCCAGGCCCAGAGTTCAGGCCCCATGACCAGACCCCCCCACCCAAAAAAAGAATAACATATCTCATTAAAATTCAATTTATAACTCATAAAGATTATATCTAATTTTAAAATATACACAAGATAGAACTGAGTCTAAGAACTGATGACAGAGCACAGAATTAAATTAAGATTTGTCTCATTCTGATATCCCATTCTTTCCCCCATACTAGGACATCTTATAACAAATTCCCTAAAGATTTAGCTCATCTTAATCACCTGTAAATAGGCTTTTCAAACTCTACCTTCTTGGTGAAGCCATGAGAAGCTGGAACTAACAGCTTTCTTCCTTGCTCCATTGCAACTCTCGCAGCCAGGCTTGCAATCAGAAACCCTGGGGAAAGGAAACAGGTGTCATGCTTGAAGGTATTCTAGTTTTGTCCTGCTCCTTCCTTCCCAACCATTACAAAGTTAACAATTACAAGTATAGAATGCTCTATAATGTGCACTATAATGAAGAAATATGGCCCTTAGAAGTCATTTAGAAAATTGTATGCCACAGGCAAGTATATAGAATTAAGAGTTATTCCAATTTACCTATTCTAAGGAAATCATTTTAAATACCCAATTATCTATTATTATCTATAGTAATTATAATCCTCTTCACATTAAAGGCCTGAGGATCAAGCATATTAATCCTTGCTGTTCACTCACAGTTTAGAAACACTTTTTAATTGATAAACCCTGTTCTTTTGTTAAGGGTACCAATAATAACTGCTTATAGACTTCATGGGACTTATATAGGTATAAGAACTAAAAAAACAATTTAGTTTCAAAAGAATACCTTAGTTGATGACAGAATAAAAAATCATTTGGAGTCAATTTTCAAGGAAAGATTTATATAATTAGTAATTAGTAAAAAAGAAAAAAAAAGAAAAAATTGGGGGTGGACTAGATTATAGAAATAGCCTCTAGATATAAAAGGGAGCCAAGAAAGGGACTTCTCGTTTTGCGTTTCTACCATAATCACTATACATTTCAGGGAAAAGTTTACCTTCTAAAGCCTGATACGTGTTAAGGGACTAGACGATGTTGCCTGCCCCTGAAAGGGAGTTATAAGTGGTATGACATCATTTGAGAACGTAAAGAAAAACACACTTTTAAGAGTCTAAAACGACAAAGCCCCTCGCCCCTTTTTTTTAAGTATATATTTTCCCCTACTACTGCGTGTTCAGTGCCAGCTATCCAACTGAATAACTTGCACCTATTTCTCATCTAATTCTCAGAGAACAGCCCGTGATGTACAACCAATTGTATAAAGGAGGCCCGAAGAAAACTGTCCTAGGCCGCACACCCAGAGTGGTAGAACAGGGCTGCGCCAAGCGGACTGGCAGTGGAGATTCACACTCCCGGTTAAACCAGAGCAGGGAGCGGCAGCAGCTGGGAGCGATCCCCAAGCCGAGACGGTCCGCCCGAGACCTGACGGGTTTCTGTTCATTGTTCTCGTTTTCAAAATGTGTGTGTACGGCCACACCCAGTGCCCAGAGAGTCGGCCTCCCTCCCGACGCCCGCCGGGCCAGCGGGGGCGCGTTCACCGCATGCCCGCGCAGGAGGGGGGGCGGGAACGCTCCAGCCGAAAGCGGACATCGGCAGCCATCTATTTACACACGCACGCACGCACGCCATAGGCCCAACGGAGCAGTGCGTGTGCTGTCTGCGTGACACTCTGCCACCCCGGAACTCACGCGGGCAGCGGCTGGCTCGCCTCCCCGCCCGCCCCGACCCGCACACACTATTCGGTTTGGTAGCACAGGCATCCTGGGGCTCCGCGGCCGGCCTCGGCGCCGCTTCGGGTGCAGTCTGAGGTCGCTGCGCGGGGAAGGCCGGCGTCGCGCGGGGCCCGGGGCCCGGGGAGAAAGCGCGGCCCCGCCCTCGGCTGCGGGCTCGGGGGCGGCCCCCGGGGGGGTCCCGCCGTCCCCCGCCCTCCCCCAGGGAGGAACGCACTGCGCGGGGGCGGGGGGAGGGGGAGACGGGAAGAGGGGACGCACACCGGACCCCCCAGCTGCCCCAGCGGTCCGGGAGGGAGACGCCCCCACCCTTACCCCGTGTCCCCGGAACCGGAAGCTGGCCGCGCCGGTCCCGGTGGGCTCGCCGGGGCCTCTCTAGGAAAGCGCGGTGGGCCGCCCTCTCGTTGGTCGTCGGCCCGGGGAGTCCGTCCTGGGCCCGGAGGAGCTCGGGCGCTTCTGGGCCCTCGAGGCGCCCTCGGCCTCGCAGCGTCGCGCTCCGATCGGCCGCAGACCCCACCCCCAAGCCAGGCTAGCATTTCGGCTCCCATTGCCTCTGTCCCCACCCCTGTGTGTGAAACTGGGCAGGGGCCACCTTTCCCACGACGAGTAGCCTCTCCTCCGTGGTAGAGAGGAATGGCAGCCAACGTTTCCATCGTCCTCCGGCCAAACGTACAAATCCGTGTCCCGCTCTTCTCCTGCTACACACAGAGCTCTGCCTTCCTGGAACCAAAGGCCCTTCTTGGAAACCTCCTAGTGTCCATCAAGCTCTGAATTGCCCTGACCCACCGCACCACTGCCCCTCCACTTTTTATTTTTACCAGGGTTCCCATTTTGATCACATCTTCACCCGCTTTAACATTCCTCCTAGAAGAACCACACTAAGTCACCAGTGTCACCAGTGATGCTCTTCGTTTTCAGTTCATACTTTTGTTTCTCCATCCAGACAGCAAGTTCCACGAGGGCCGTGCCAGCCTCTGATTTTGCTCACGATTCTTTGAACCCCAAACAGGAGTCTGAAGCATGCATCCAGCACACAGTCGTTGAAAGCCTACAGTGTGCCTGTTAGTGTGTTATCTTAGAGGATATAGCAATGCCTACTACAAAGAAGGGAAGACTGTTATGAATAGCAGGAAAAAAAAGTAAGTAATTCAAACAAGAATTGACATAAATTAAACAGACATGGTAGGATGCTCAGGAAAATGTACTGTTTGCGTTAACATGCTCAGGGAAGCCTCCTTTGATAAGGGATTCTTTCTGCAGAAACACAAAGGAAGGGCAGATGTAAACCATTCTATCTAAGGGATGAACAGCAAGAAAATGGATCTTGAGTTAAGAGCATGGTTGGCATGCTCAAGAAAATAAGGAGCAGAGCAAGTGAGGTGACAGCAGTAGGAGATGAGACAGATCAGATAGGCCAGGAGCAAGGGACCTGGAGATGCAGCAACCACAGACCCATCAAGTTGAACTTGCCACCCAACTTCTCAGAGTGCTTGGAGCACAGAGCTCCAAGTTGCCATGAACAGACCCACCCAAACTCCTGCCCTTCCAGGCAGCCCACCACAGCTGCTACTGATCCAGAGAGAGGTAGATATGCACTGGACACTATGTTGAAAATGAACTATACAACTTGTCGGGGAGGGGAGTCGAGAGGGAAAAACTGGGAGAAAATGTAGGAAGAGGTAACACTGTTTACTAAGAAATGTATTCATCACCTGACTTAGTTAACTGTAGCCTCTCTGTACATCTTTACAATAATAAAATGTACTCATTTATCTGACTTGTGTAACTATCACCCCTCTGCACATCACCTTTATAATAACAATTAAAATTGAAAAAAAACTTAAGACAGTAGGTAGACAAACCTGGTCATCTTGGCCCAAAGCAGGTAACTCTTTTTCAGTTTGAGCTCTCAATCAATTTTGCTCAACTCTGATTCCTTCTTCTCCCTTCCGTAGTTATGAATGCCAAGAGTACTCTTCAGTAAACACGGTGGACACTAAATAACCCCCAATTACATACACATACAGCAGAATGTCACCTTCCTACCTACCAGGATGGTCCCATCCATTTCTTCTTTCCATAGCAACCAGTACCATCTGTTTCTTGTTCATTTATTAATATCATTTATAATTCACTCATTCATCATTAATTGAGCAAATGTAGTTACCTGCTTACATACACACATACAGAGGTAACAATGGAAGATTCATACTCATTTTCTATACTATGCATGAGAGTAAGTGATTTGCTTTGTTCTAAACTGTATTTTTCACTTAACCTATCACAGAAGAGTTTTAGTCTCTAATTTTAGTATCAAACCTGTCATTTAGAGTTTTGGAGTTGCATGGTATTCCATTATTTTTTAATCAGCTCCCAGTGTTGTTCCCAAGTCTTTCCAACTAAATCTAATGCTGCAATGAATAACTTAGCCTTTATTTTGGAAGCTATGCTGAATAGTTGTGAAATGGTTTGTTCTGTTCAATATCTATTCCAACTTCTTTTAGTTCTGCCTATCTGTATAACTCTCTCAGTTTCTTTCTCCCTCCCTCTTTCTCTTCATCTCCACCTCTCCCCCACTCCCTCTACTCCCCTTCTCCCTTCCCTCCCCTCCCCTCCTTTCTCCTCTCTGGCCTCTCCTCTCTCCTGTCTCCTCTCCTCTCTTCTCTTGTCTCCTCTCCTCTCCTTTCTCCTGTCCTCTCCTCCCCTCTCTCTCCTGTCTCCTCTCCTCTCTTTTCTCCAAAGACAAGGGAAAAGCCAGGTAAGAACATGGTGAAAATGTGGCCCATCCAACACTGATAGGTGTGTGTGTGTGTGTGTGTGTGTGTGTGTTACTGGAGTTTGAACTCAGGGCCTTAGACTTACACTTGCTAGGCAGGTGTTCTACCACTTGCACCATTCCCCCAACTTACTGTTAGGATCTTGATCCTAATCATACACAGCCAGACTCCAGAACAATGGAAACATGAATTTCTGTTTAAACAACCCAGTCCAAGGTATTGTTATAGTAGCTCTAACAGACTAGTAACACAGTTGAGGAAACTCAAGATTTCATCTCTCAGACATTGAAGCTGCAGTGGTGATAGCTATAGTAGCAACTTCAAAAGACATACCTGCAAGCTATTTTCAGTCATTCAATGAGTCCAGAAGCCAGTGATGCTTGAAATCAATCTTTTTATTCGATGTCAGTTCAGGTGTATTTTGTTCTCTGCCACAAAACCCAGTTAGTACAAAGTCTAAATTAGGAAGGAGCCTGGAGAGCCGGAGTTAGGGTGGGGCACATGGATCTACAGGAAAATTGATCACCCATGGCAGAGACCTTCAGTGAATTTGTAGACAGAACTCCCAACCCAGGGATGGCTGTGTAGAAACTGCCGCTAGTACCGCAGTGCCAAATGAAGAAGGCTGCTGACCTTTGAGTTGACTCTGCCTGGCTACTGGCAAACTGTCATTGGGAAATTGGTAAAGGGGAAAATATGGTCCGACTAGTCTCAGCAAACCACCAAAGGCCTTTACAGGTCTTCAGAGTGTGACATGGAGAATGTCTTTGTTAAACAATGTGATAAGGGCCTTGACTGGGCCACACAAGCAAGCTAAGGACAACAAGCATCAGCCAAGTCACAGAGACTTCTGGAGACAGCTTTCGCCTAGCAGAGTAGATTATATACTTGTCACACCCAAAGCCTCAAGATTTCGGTATCATGTCAACTGAGACCCATAGGTACAGAAGCTATGAAGAGATTGACTCTTAGAGCTTTTTTTTTTTGGATCCGGTTGTGGG